TCGCTCACTATCTGTGTTGTCTCAGCCATTTCCTTTACTTTCTCAGCATCCTGCTTCATTACTTGAATCAAATCCGTTATTTGCGTTTGTTGAGCAGTAATGCTTGTTGTCACAACTTGCAGCTGCTTTTGTTGTGCAGTAATATTCGCTGTTACAACAGACATCTGTTCTTTAAAGACATTGAGCTGTTCCAGCAGAGGGCGCATGACCTCTGTCATCGCCTTCGTCGTCTCACTGGTCGTTTCCGGCTTCGGGAACTCTAGTTTCGCTTTTAAAAGTTTCTCTTTGTCTCTGTCCCTCTTCCCCGCCATCTTTTTCTCATTTGTTTGCTTTTGCAATAAATTTTAAAGTCTCTGAATATGTGCTTATCTGTATAGCTCAATGGATGAGTACATCTGGGCAATTTCTTGTTTATTCTTCCACTCCCTCCCCTTTTGCTCAACGATTTATGGGCATGGGAGGCGTCCCTCCCACCACTCGCTTCTGCCGTTTCGATGCTTTGGGTAAGGAGTGTCTTTTCGTTTAAAAATCAGTTCTCATTTGACTCATGTTCATAGTTGGTCTTCCGACCCCTCTTCATTCATCATTTCAAACGCCTGATCTCCTGTGCTTGACCCGGCTAGCTTCACTTGTACCATCAGGTCTCTTGGCTGGACGGACCACTGGAGCAAGGGGGAGCCTCGATTCTCTGGCATTTGGCCAGAGAAGAGGCTACCCCCTCAAAGCTCCTTGGCCAGGTGCCCTTCCCCGAGCTCCTGGGGGGGTTACGAGCCTGCTCACCCCCTCCATCCGCCAGAGCACGGAGACACCCCCGGGAGGTGAGTCCGTGAGCGTGCCACCATCAACCGGAAGTCGAGGGTAGGGGTTCTTGCTGGGAATCCACCAAGCCTCTCCTTGAAGGAGGGGAAGGAGCAGCATCTGCCCGCATGAAAAAAGGGCCCAAGGTCATGTGGTAGTCCTTCAAGGACTGGAAGGAGAGAGGCAGCAAGTGAAGTAGTTGGCCTGGATGCTTGGCAGCCCGTGGGGGACAGGGAGGATGGTCAATGTTGGATCCCCAGGCATTCGAAATAACTCCACGTTTGATTCAAAGCAAGGTTTATTTCAAAGCGATGGTTCAAGCAGGAACAAGGACATTGTTAGGAATGACTACCAATACACAGGTATAGCATAATAAAGGGATTTGAACCATGTTGGGCCAATGAGGCCAGTTCCCGCTGGCGGGAATAGAACTCATAAACGCGCGCCTATTCCATGGGAATGTAACAGTCCAGTACCATCAACACAGTTTCAGTTCACAGGGTAGATAACCAGGATTCGGCGGGAGACCTCCCGGTTTGCCCGGGAACCTTTTGTGAAACTCTCTGAGCATGTAAGGGGCCCGAATATCCCCTTCTTCCACCCATTCTTGGTGCTGGGGTCCGAAGTCCACCCACCGGATGAGATACCATAATTTACCACGTTTAAATTTGGAATCTAAGATGTCCGCGATTTCAAAATGCTCCTCCCCATCGAGCATGATAGGAGGAGAGGGGTCATGTGCAGGCCTCCATTTGCCTTGGCCTGTGTCCTTCTTCAAAAGACTCATGTGAAACACAGAATGCGAAGACTTCAAATTTTTAGGCAGTTCGACATCTACAGCAACATCATTAATAATTCGACGCACCCTGAAAGGACCAAT